TCAGTACCTGGCAGGGAGGTTACAAATGTGGAGTCTGCTTGAACCGCGGAGTGGCCAGATCACAGGAGAGGCCGTTCCCACTGCAGAGTGGGCGCCACTCGGCATGGTTGGTCCAAGGGCTCCCCGGCTCCCAGGGCCCGCCTGAACCTGCTAGAGCGTCACTAGGCAGGCCCCGGCCATGGGAACCCATGGCCTTGGATGTGGTCTTTTGACCAAATCCAAATTTTATGGGAGAAATCTTTCTGTTAAGAGGGGAGCAGCAGAAAACGCTGGCGATTTTTTTTGTCTCCCTGGTGCTTATAAAAGAACAGTTTTGAAGTCCGAAGGCTTCAAAGGCTCCCACTGTCCTCTGAAGGCCACAGGTTCACACTGTCCTCTGAGCCTTGTCAAAGCATCTGGTGTTCTTCATGACCTTGGACAGGAAAACATATTCGCTGAGTTTGTGTGTGACACCAGGCTGAGAGAGAGCAAGGGTTGACAGATGAGGTGTCCAAGGCTTGCTTTCTTCATGGACCAATCTACTGAGGTGGAGTTTTTGTGGCCTCAGTTCCTCTTGTGGGTACACGTGAATGTGGGAGGGAGCAGGTGGGGCTGGATCACCTCCCCGGCTGGTGGAACAGGTTGGGGGTGGCGGGTAGGTCACTGACTTGCAATCCTCTGCGAACCAGAGTGTGAGGAGGCCATGTGGGAGGCTTGTAGAGTGTGGGCTGAAGAGGTGCAGATTGCTTCTGGTGAACTTTCCATGGGCAGGTGTGCTGGTCACTCTGGGTGACATATGGAGAGGGATGTCAATTGAGAGGGGGGTCCAGTGTGGCCCAGCATTTGAAGAATAGCACTGAACAAGGGAAGGCCCTGGCCGGTCAGCCTAGTGATGAGTGGCCCTGGCCGCTGGATGAGCTCACGCCGTCAGCATGTGCGCTGAAAAGGAATGGTGCTGAGAGGGTGAGCAGGCCCTGCACGCGGGGGTGGGGGGGGTGGGGGAGCGGCACAGTGCAGAAGAGTGCAGAAGTGTCCGTGTTTTACCCTGTTAATGTGTCTGCCTAGAGATGGGTGGGAGATCTGTTAGTATTACTGTTGGAACAGCTGCCTCTGGAGTTTTGGGTAGTGTGTGTCTATAATGTGACATCTGAACTTTCCAGTGAGTTTTAAGGGAAATTGTCATTGTAATTTTGTTTTATTTTTTATTAAATCATAGCCGTGTACATTAATGCAGTCATGGGGTACAGTGTGCTGGTTTTATGTAATGTCAAATTCATACATGATAAACTTGCCTGTGTGCAAAAAGAAATCCATCTGAAATTTGTAAAGGGTAGGTATTTGCATTAGAGAACTTAAACTTTTGATTTTGGGATTTTTTGTCAGTGCGTTAATGTTTGTGTAGGGAACCTGCCCTGTATGGGACTTTGTATAAACTCTGTGAAGGGGCTTTGGGAAAAGCCATAATACATACACAAAGGTAAATAGAATCCTGCATTATAGAAGTAGGTTCTGAATTTGGTGATTAAGGTTGTAACTGTCCTTTGCAGCCTGACGTTGCTGTGGTCCTTGTGGGGAAGGTGGGAGGGGTAGGCCTCATGAAGGGGGGTGCAGGGGGTGGGCGTACAGGAGCCCCATTGGTTTCTTTTTCTTTCTTTTTTTTTTTT